GCTGTAACACACTTATACCTCTGTGAATATGTATAAATCTGCAACATGTCTGGTTTTTGTCCAAAGATTGTGTGCTGCTGGGGACACACTGGCACCTTGTCATCCAGCAAGGAACAAGTTAGCAGTGTGATTGCTCATAGTGATTTTCATGGTGAGTGAATTACAGCATTATTAGGAGTTTTGCTTACAGAGGACTGTCTGGTTTGCGTAATGGACGTAATTGCCATTTGGAGTTTGGAGAGAACTGCATGGTCAATTTGTTGTATCCTCCTAGATTTTTGGAAAGTGAGTCAGTCTTTCTGATAGTGTAAGGGAGGAAAAAAGTACTAGAGGAAAAACAAAGTATTTCTGTGGTCAAAACAGAATGCAGGATATTTCTTTCTGATGCTTAACTATAAGGAAAAGGTTTAAAGCACTAAAATAAGAGACTATGTGTTTGTACTTACTATGTCTTCCTAGAGTGTGATCTAGTAACTCTCAAATTTATATTACCACTTTTTTAAATGGGGAGATTTGCAGATGCAAGGCTTATGGGGTGAGGGAAAAGGAAACTTCCTGAAGTGGGTGATTAGCAGCCTACTTTGAACTTCAGCAAGCAGTGATCAAGATTCTTTGTGATGATTTGGTGGAAGTGTATAAATCCAGGTTTTGTCTCCTTTCATATTTTCTGTTTCCTATCTCCAGAACTCCTAGCTAGGAAAACCACTTTCCATTTTCTTCTTTTAAGATTTTTGTGGGTTTTTTTCCTAGTAATTTTTCAGTGCACCAAGCAACATATTTACCTGTCTCTTTTTGGGAATCCTCTATGGCTCCATGGCTTTCCTGTTAGAGGGATTTGGCAAGTTACTACTTTTGTTTTTTTTTTTTTTTTTTTTTTTTTTTCCTCCAGCCTTCACCATGGAGCCACTTTGCTTCCAGAACAAAAGGTGATAATTCTTCCTACTCAGTGTTATTTCCACTGGGCTCAGGTCCTCCAAATGGTGAGAGTTTTAGATCCATGTATTTAATGCCAGGTATTTAGAACCTTTATTTTGTGATTTGCCAGCTGGTATTTGCCCTTTAAAGTGCCCACCCTCTAATGGTTATTGGGACCCAATACCCAGTTGTCCTCTGAGAGTAGTTAGGAAGTTAAGGAGATGACTTTCCTATGTAATATGCCATGCCTGTTGATGGAGATGACTGGAAGGGTGCTTCCAAATCCCTAGGAATTTGTGTGTCCCCTCCCTACAGTACCAGTCCAACGTTTGCCAAGTTGTTTTCACCCTGTTAAAAATGGTAGAAAATGCAAAGGCTCAAGGCAGATAGAACTAACCTTTTATGTACTTTGAGGGCTTGGGTTATAGCATAATAGTATAAGGGGATTTTGAAACTGTTATGTTTGGTTATTCTTGCATCAGCATCGTGGGTGCTTGGTCAGTTGGTTTGACCTGATTGCTTGCTTTGTGTAAAACTCAGATTTGCAATCTAAATATCACTTTGAGTTATTGCTGCTACAGAATCTGAAGGAATAAGGGGAGGAACTACAGTTTATTTTTTTTTCATTGTTGCTCACACCTGATGTTTATATGCTCTGGATCCATCCAGCTTTTTAAAGTTAAGACTAATAAAGAATAAAAGGATTCATTAACTAGACAACAATAATGGTCAAGCCAGTTGAGCTGGAGCTGTTCCAGATTTTCTCTCTCTCCAAAAGTGCAGATATCTTGTTTCTGCATTGCAAGGCTGTCTTCAGCTGGCTGTGACTCAGATACAAGTCTTCCAGATGTCATTGCAGGATACTGTGATGAAACTGCCTTTCTGTCTTCCAGTGTGTAATCATGGAAAATGAAAGGAAGACAGTGTCTCCTTTTGGCAACCTGTCATGTGCTCTGATTCCTAATTTTATTACATCTTACTCTCTAGAGCATGGAAGAAAATGACTGTAAAAAGCAAAGGTGTTTCTTTTCTGCTAGCAAAGTGGAGAGCAGATGAGCAAAATTTTTATGGCAATATTGAATAGATGTGACTGGCTAAAAAAATAGGTTAAATTACTTGAGATGGGGGATCGGAATGAGAAGGGTTAATTCTCATATAGTTTTTATTTCCGTGTTATTTTTATGTGGACACCACTCGTCAATGTTCAGAAGCCCTTAGTAAACTGTTTATAAGGTGTTTTTAGCAACAGTAGAAATAACCAGAAGGGAATAGTATGAACCCTTTTCTTTTTGGGAAAAGAAAGGGAGAAAAGGGTGACATAGTTCGCTTGTGATGCAGCACAACATTTCTTAAACTCTTAGGGATCTGTTTACTTAGGTGCCTTAAATATGTAGAATAAAGAATAAAATTAATGTTAAATGGAATGCAGTAAAGTCACTGTCAGATGAACTGGCAGCCTTTGTGTGTACACATGTGAATGCTGTATGTGTTTAAAATGGTACATATAAATAACTAAACAGAGGTGGTAGTTACATGAAAAGCTATCACGTCCCTCTATTACTCTGTGGAAAACAGACCAAATCTGTTCTATTACCAAATTATTGCTTGCTGTGTACATTGAGTCTGATGTTTGGCTGCTCTGCAGAAACAGCCCTTATAAACTGAAAACTAATTGAAACATAGGGGTGATGTGTACTTTACTTTTATCCCGGTTCAAGGGTTTACCCCAACTCCTGCAAAAAGAGCACAGATAAGAAACTGTATTGGTTAATCTGCACAACAAAATGAAGATATGATAGTGGCATGGTTGGTGCGCCCATCCTGACTTTAATCCACGTAGCACAGGTGACACATGCTCAAAAGAATTGACGGTGTAGGCAAGCAGCAGCATATGTATGCAGGGCTGATCAGCTGTCCTTCACTGCATGATGTGATGTAATGGGTATAATGTGATGTGATGTCTCTGCTGCTTGCTTGCTGCTACTGCCTTAGCTACTTAAATGCTATTACAAGTGTGTCTGCTGTGGGATCTTGCACTTTCATTTTGCTGTGTGTGAACCTCTGAAATCCCAGCATCCTTAACATCTCGAACTGGGCATATGAGAGCTGGATGAAAGTAAAAAGCAAACACTTGCTTATCTTGATGGCTTTTACTGGTGTGAAGCTTCTGTGAGTGTCTTTTAGACAATCAGCAACATCAAGTTCCTGTGAGTCTTTGCACTCTCCTCCTTTATACTGAATCAGAGAAGCTCTGCATGCTGCAGAGTTGAGCTGCACTGGATTTGCTAGTGTGACCCTAAATGGGAGCAGGCTGAGGTGGGATTAAGGTTCACTGTATTGTCATTGATGAGTTGGCATCCATCGATTTGGGAACTTGCTTAGAAAGCATGCGATCAGAGCAGCCCTGTAGGGGGTTCAGAGATTTCTGCTGTACCTCTGGCTGGGGAAGGATGGGAGCAAGGTGTTAATGTTTTGAGTGTAACTCTATGGTAATAGACAAGAGTTTGGGATTTCTACTACAACATCTGTGTTTTGTGAGGCCAGGGCAATTTTGTTCTCTTGCTTTATAAATCTTGCACTAAAAATAAGAATTATTTGCTTCAGTATAGTTCTCTGACATCATCTATTATAAATGCTGGTTGCTTACATGAGCAAGAAACCAATTGATATTGGCTCTGCTCCAAAGAACTAAAACTCAGCATACCTAAGTATTTAAATTATTGCATTATTCTATTGCATGAGTGCCTGCATGACTGAAATAAAGCAACTGCAGCAATGAAGCCAACAAACCTCTAATAAGAGGATTTGCATGAACTGCACCATGTTGGATATGGTCCACCAGAATAAAAGCATTTTGGGGCTGTAGTATCTTGTTAAACATGTTGTAAATGTTTTTGACAAGAAGCCTGGCTGAATCCAACCACCTCTGGGCAACCAGCATGTCAGAGCATTTGAGTGAGATATATCATCCTGTCCTGGACTGGTAGCTTTGGATAATCCTCTAATCCAAGTGATTGCTTAAATGTTGCAGCCTATTTAGTTTTGCTCATTCTGGAATGACTTACTTCTGTAGAGCTCAGGGTGATTTAAAAAAAAAAAAAAGGACTGCAACTGAATAAATGAATTTAACTCCAGCTGTCTAGGGTCCAGGGTGGACTTAAGGATGTTGTATCCTAATGCTCTGTTAGAGACAGCTCCTGAGCTCTGCTTTTTTCTCTGACTTCTGGAATTTTTGCTGAGGCTGCCAAAGACAAGGTGACTTGAAGAAGGCAGCATGATCTCACTTTTGCTCTGAGGACACTGAAGCTTTTGCTTGTCCTTGTGTCTGATAAGAGTAGCCTCTAGTCATGTGCTGTTTGCCCTCTGCGTGTCTTGTGCTCCCACTGCCATCACTACCTCCTTACAATGGGGCCAGACTGATTCCCACGTGCAGTAGCCAAAGAACAGTTGTATATTCCTTTAACTGTCTGCTTGGTGGTGGAACAAAGTTGTTTTCTTTGCACTGTTGAACCACAAAAAATGGTGAATTGGAAGATCTGTGTGAAAGATGCTGGGGAGTGGAGGAATTCAACTAAGGCAGCTGTCCAGTTACTACTGCTTGTGAAAGAGTGTCACATCAGGATTGTTGATTTTGCCCTTGTACTGGGGTTGGAGAAAGTCAGGCACTGGGGTGATGCTTCAAAATCCCAGTCTGCTTCCTGGCCTCTGCCTTCCACCAAGAGGACAGAGAAGGGGTCAGGCTGGCAGCCTGGTCACCTGCGTCGGGATGGCAAGAGAGTAAAGCCCTGCTCCAGGGAGAGTGAGGAACACCAGAGCCCTTCTGTACCCTGGGGTAGCTGAGCCTGCCCTTCCTCTTGTATGAGTTTTTGAGTGCCTACGGGCTTGTTTAATCCCTTCTGTCATTGGCCAGGAGAAGTTGCCATATGGGCTCGCAAGTGAGAATGCTAAGAAACAAAAGATTCATAGCTCACTTTTTTGCTCCTTTTCCCGCCTCTACTGTTAATTGTTCTGAGAATGGAGAGACTTCTTCCCCTTCTCCTCTAAGAATAACAACAGCTTTCTGTTTTGTTTATCTTTTGCAGATCAATTTTGTAGCATGTCAGCTGTTTGCACTTCTGGCTGCATTTTGGTTTCGTATTTACTTGAGTCCCAGTCATGCCAGCTCCGCTGTTCGCCATGCATTTGCAACCCTCTTTGGAATATACTTTGCTGTCTTCTGCTTTGGGTGGTGAGTATTTAGTCACCATGTAGACAAAGCTTGGGTAAAAATATTTTCAAACTTCATATCAGCTTTTCTGGATCACATCTTTTTAGCCTTAAGGCACTTAAGGTTATCCTAAAAAAATAAATTAAAAAAATCTTTACCTGCATAATCTATTCCAAATCCTCAAAGTAAAATGAGTCATGAAAGTGTTTTTAAGTGGAGTATTTAATTTAATTTGTGATGTTTATTCTGGAAGTTAAAACCATGCCAGTCTGCTGTTAAGACACCTCTTTTGGAAAAGATATATCGAAATTGAATGTGCACTTTGATCCAGGCTGCTCTTTCTCTCAGTGAAACACATGAATAACATCTTGTCAGTAAGTATCAGTCTATGTTGGATATTCAGGCTATAAAGATCTAATTGGGGTAATCCATGTTTACTGGTACTCTGATATGACATCGCATTTGTGTAATTTGCATGGAAAAATATTCCCTTGCTCTGAACTGCCAGCACTTCCAGGTAACGTAGAAATTATCTAAATACTCCCTTTCTTGTCTTTAAGGTATTCCATTCATCTTTTTGTCCTGGTGATGATGAACTATGGCATTATGAATATGGCGAGTATTCCCAACATCCACAGGTGAGCTGATGTGGCTGCAAGTGTGGAGTTGCCCCCCTGACACGTTCTCTGCTTTCAGGGAGAAGCATGAGGGGTTTTTAGAAGCACCTTCTCTTCTTTCCTACTTTTCTTTCCCAGTTACTTGCAGGAGCTTTGTTTATCCAGTTACAGAAGCAGCTGTAATCTCAATTTGTGGTTTCTTGCATTGATGTATTTTCCTACAAAATTGCTGCCCTCAAAAGTTGACTTTTCCAGGCTTAATAATTTATGGCCAAACCTCTGGTTTCTTAAACATAATGAAGTCATGTTCTCCTTGGTCTTGTATTCTTGAGGAGTGCATTCGATAATCCTTTTTAATGTGTTTTCCCCCTTGCTCTTTGGCCTTTAGGTATTTTCCACTTATTCTTGAGTTAGGTAGTTCGAATAAGGTCACTGTGGCAGCATAACTTAGTGATCCACAAAATGAAGTCTTGCATTTGGTACTGGGCTTTGAGCCGGAAAAAGTAGAAAGTACCAGAACTGTCACTGCTGCTTAGTAGAAGCTTATGTTATGATCATGAGAAGTTCTCCACCATGGTATTGATCTTTTCCCTATACAAACGCCTTAGAGGAAGGAAGGCACGTAAGACTCCTGAAGAGCTTTATCAAATTAGTCCCCTCCTGGCCAAAAGACAAAAAGTGCTTTCTTATGAAAATGAAAACTGGGATAGTTATGTAGTATAGGATAGTTATGTAGTGCAGGATAATGTCTTCTTCTTTCACTGACTGAGAGGAAATTTGTGTGGAAGAACTTCTCTGTTCAGTCACTAAGCCTTCTCGTGTGGGTACCATACTCTCTTGAGAGAGAGTTCAGCACCAGCGAGTTTTTAAAATTGTTAGGTGGAGTTGTTTGCTTCCCATCAGTTTACATAAATAGGAATTTTTATTTGTAAAGCTGCTACTTTATAGCTGGTTGTTCTTCCCACTTCCGTACTTTTGTGTTGGTCTACCTAACAGCATGTGGTTAATACTGTGGTTTGGATGTCTTACAGGTGATTTCTGTCTCTGCTCTGTGTGGCTGTTTCTGTAGCTGCTGCTGAATGCTCATAATCCACAACAGTCTGGGCTGGTGAATGGAAAGCCTTTCTTCACTTGTCCTCAGGGCCAGGGCTGTCTGAGGATCTGATGTTCAGATAATCATCTCGCCTTCTTTTTAGTCACTTCCTGAGGAGAACTCTGTCTAATATCTAAGTGGGATCCCCACTTAAGATTATTTAGAAACATGAAGTATAAACAACAAGCCTGTCTACAGCAGTCACTAGCATTTTGCACCAGCAAGATAGGTATTAAGGAGGTTTTTTCCACCCCCTCACAGAGTGCAAATCCCAGAAGTCCAGAAATTATTAATAACTTCAGAAAAAAAAGTAATTGGATAATATTTGTTAAAGAAATGCCATCCAGAGACCAAAACAAAAAGGTGTTAAAAATGCATATGACTTGTTTCCTGGGCATTGTCCCTGCCAGTCACTTGAGGGAAATACAGGAGTTAGTGATTGTAGATCAGGGGAACCAAGTCTATGCAGGGAATCATCCAATGGTTGTTTACATCTTCCTAGGTAAGTTGAGGTGATGATAGGGAAATGGACACAGCTGGGAAAAATAACTGTATACTGCAACACAAAATAAGCTGGTTCATATAATGTCACCCACTGCTGCAAGATAGTAATGAGTTGATTTGATTCAATGTGAAATGTCAATCCAACATGCTGGAAAACCTCAGGAGGTCTGGGAGGATTGGGTTAGGACTTTTCCACTGTATTCCACTAGCCGTGGCAGTGTGACTCAAAGTGCATCAACATTATGAATTTTGGCAAAATAACAATGTATTCAGACTGCTTGAGAGTAAGCTTGACCAATGTCGCTTTAAGGTCTGGAGCTGTTCATACAGGGGGCCTGTAAAAGCACAGAATCCTTCGTAGTGGGGCTTCAAGACTTGGCTCTTTTTTCCCTCCAAAAAATACAGTGGAAGAGAACAAATGAAATAAACTACATAATTTAACCTTCACACTCCTTTCCCTGGTTATTTTTTGACAGCTTGCTCTCTGGTGAGGCTGCTAGCCTTCAAGGCCTGTAAATGGACAATTTAATCCAGGAACAGAAGTGCTCCCAGCTGCAGAAGCAGTTCAGCATATCTCTCCCTGCTTGCCCCCCTTTCAATCTAAGTGCTTTACACTTAAGTGTTGAGGCTTATTTTAGATCCTTCAGGCTGTCTCTTACTGTTACGTGTCTGAGATGGGTGACTTACCTTTAGAGGGATGTTTGCTGCTCTCCCTAGATGAGAGAGGAGTCCAAAGACCTTGCTGAGGCAGGATGCCTGGGATGCCGGACCCAGATAAAATAAGATAAATTCTACGCTGAATCTCCTGAAGAATCTGTCGTGTCCCCTCAGTCTGCCTTTCATCCAGCTGTTTGCTATGGGCCATGTGACCTACAGGATGACTTGCAGTCCATCACTGTCGTTCACACTGCAGTTTATTAGTCCCCAGGGAGGAAAAACTCATTTCTTTTAAAACCAACCATAATTTTACAAAGGTCTGGCTCTTTTTCAGTTGTCTGCTGAGTGATCCTATTGTCTGATTTCACCTTTAGTTCTCCCCTGTGATTGATCCTCTTATGGGTCTGGGGGGGAATCCTGCTTGGCAGTGTGTGCTTACCAGCCTCCTATGGCTCGGCTCTTCCTTGCATACCTGATGTGCCATCTTATTCTGTAACCTGTTGGTCTTTGCACCTTCTCCTCCACATGGATAACTTCTGCTACAGTGGACACCAGTAGACCTGGTCCTGGCATGTACATGTGATGCAAGCCTTTCATTCTGGTGCCCCAGCTCTCCATTGCACTGTGTAGATTGCTTCATGTGTCAGTCTGTTTCCAAACATCCATCTGCTTCTTACCTCTCCAGTATCGTCTTTCTTGCTCTCATAAGTACAGGGAGAAGTTACTTGTATGAAGGGCTGCATCTGCCCACGCAGACACTGCAGCACTTGCAGTCTTCAGACTGTTCAGCTCTTAAGATAGAAAGAGTCATGCTACTGCCCTGCCTAACATAAGTTTGCTATCATCTTGAAAAACAGAGAATGAATTTGTCACACTCTACTTAAGGAATGCTTCTTTGGTTGGACACAGTGATCTTAAAGGTCCTTCCAGACTAAATGATTCTATGATTCTTCTGGAAGATGGCATGTTTCAGCATGCAGAGCTGAAAAGAATAGGCTATGTGTCATTATATGCCTTTATAGAAAATCAGAGGAGAGAAAATACCTGAACCTTGAAATATTTTAGTCTCTGCTAGATCTGAGGGAAAGTTGTAAATAAAGAGCATTTACAGATAAAAAAGTCAGTGAATAACTTCAGCGATGCACATACAGTATCATCTGGTTTCAAATGCTTTAGTTGGGCAGAAATTTCAAAATAATATGTGAAGGTGGGCACTTTGAAATTGAAATATGCAACTTGAATTGATCCTATTTCTTCTTTTGTTTTTTCCCCACCCCCAGAGTGAAGAGACATCTCCATAATGTTTCAGCTGGGTGCACAAAACTATCAGTCCTCTTTGAAAATTTCTTCCAGGTCTTGAAGCATAGCTTCAGACTTGTTAACAATCTAATTTGCAAAAATCAAAAGTAGCCCAAACCCAATTTAGTTCTTGTTGGTACTTGTGTTGGTAACTATGTGTTCTGTATGTTGTGTTTTTAGGTACTCCTTTGTCGTAGCTATGGGATACCTCACGTTGTGCCACATAAGCCGAATATACATATTTCATTATGGTATTCTCACTACAGATTTTTCCGGGTGAGTGAGTCTGGAAGCTGGTTCCTGTTTCAATTAGTATTAGTTAATTTTGGTACGTTTTAAGAATAATTTGTATGTTACCTGTGGAGCACCTGCAATTTTTTTCCCTTAAGCTTTTTCCAAGAGTTTTGTTGTGGTTTTTTTTTTAGTTTTTTTAAGGAAGGAACAAGCACTGTATGATTTTTGCACTGACTCATTGTTTCTACTGTTTTTTTGTGAGGCACTGTCTAGTTAGGAAGGTAGAGCTTGGTTAGCTAGGCTTCTACCTAGAGCAGCCTGGGAGGGTAAGTGTGTACAACCTCTTTCTGGAGCTGGAGGACTACTATGGCCCTGGTGAGTGGCATGGCTGGTGCTCTGGTCCCTGGTGATCTGCCCTGAGAGGTGAGATGGGCTGCTCTCCTTCCAGCTTCCTAGGCACACCTGTTGGCTCTGTGTCGTCCTTTCCCCCATTCTGATTTATCTTGAAGCCCCAACTGGGAAGGTGTTTTTTACCCATCCCAGGCACTTCAGCGGGCATGAGGGGAGGGCTTGGGCAGGGGGTGAGTTGCTAGGGGAGCTGGAAGCGGGCTGAGTAAACCAAACAGACATAAGAGATCAGCTTTGGTTGTTGGCACCAGTTTTATGGGTTCTCTCATGGGGGCAGGTTGTGGCTGCTGTTTAATTAGCACAAGTTTTTATATGCCATGCATTTCCATGAAACAGTGTTTTTCATATATGCTGTAGTCTCTGATTTTACTGAAGCAGAGGATGCTTTGCAAAAATAGAGACAGCTAACCCTACATGTTTTATGAAAGGAAGGTATGCTTTTGCATGCTTTAAAAACAGTGTGCTTATCTGCATTCCACTTGTTTAATTGAATGTCTGAATACAGACTAATTAGTAACATACTATGAAAAAATTCTGCAAACTGGCACAGTAAGTTGTGACTGACTCTTCTTAGTCTGTCATCTTACAGGCATAGAGTAGGAGATTGAAGATTTTTGCTGTCTGTGTGCACGTGTCTCTCTCTGAGGCAGTGGGTTTAAGCATTTACTTAAATTCTAGGGGGTAGAGGGGAAGTTGCTCTGTGAATTTTGGGTTTTTTTATTAGAGAAGGGTGCAGAAATGGGAACTCACACATTTAGAGAAATTTAGTTCTATAGTTTTTCTGTGGTTCTTTTAATACAAAAAAGCATGTCTTGAAAGAGTGTGACATACCAAGAAGCCTGTAAATGAGATTAGAATGCTATAACTCTGTGTGTGTATGAGACAGAGGCAGAGAGAGAAATGCAAGAGATCATACTTTTCTGAATAGTGCATTCAGAAATGCACTGTGAGGCATATTAACTCTCTCTCTCTGAAGATATTTTAATAAAGATCCAGCTGAGACTGGGGGTTTATTTTATAAACCAGGTAGCATTTTCTTCTCTCTTGGTGAAAAAAGAACTACTCTTATTTAATGATGAGTTCAAGAATAATAATGGCAGTGAAAGAATAATACCTGAACTTACTGTGTTTGATTTTGTCCTGGTGCTTCAAGATACACACCAATTTATAAACTTGAGTCAAACATAAAACTGCCAAGTAGTAAGCAAATGGAAAATATAGTATGGATATGAACTGCATCTTTATGGTATATTTTAAAAGCTAACATAAATAAAAATACTGAAGTCCAAAGTGGCGAAACCCAGGTCTGCCTCATAAATGTGTCTTAAAACAGCTGTAAATAATATGTGCCCACTGAGGCTTTATGCACATACCTGAACAGATGTGATGACCCAGAGAGACAAAATATACTCTCTGGCCACAGTTTTATCAGGTATGAGCAGCAACTGAACCTCCTCTTGCTCGTCCTGCCATATTTGATGGTTCCTCATCTATTGCATAATAGATAGTTGATAACTGATAATAGGGAAGCATTTGGGCAGGTTCCTAGCTGGAAGGATGGTGTTAAATTTCTCCCTTAGGACTTCATAAACAACCGAGACAGAATCTGTGGAGCTGTGCCCATCTCTCTCCAACCTCCCACCCTTTTAGGTGAATGTGGTTGGGGATATACATTGAGAAGGCAAGACACTGGATTTAGGGGAATCTTTAAGTTGGAAAAAAAAGCCCATCATCTGCAGACTTGTGTTTGAGGTCCAGCTTGCTGCACTTGAATTTTAATTTCTTTTTAAAAAATATATATATTCTATCAAATATATATATTCTATCAAATCTCTTTCATTTATATGATTTCTCAAATGAGTGGTGACATAATGTAGGAACTTTGTTTACTACTTTCTCAAAGAAAACTATTCTTTTTTTAACACTAAACAATAACTGAATGCTGTACTTCACCCTTAATTCAAATCAATCTTTGAGAGAAACATGCATGTTTTATTTTGCTTGACATTTATACATAATACCTGGAAAAACTAAATCCTAACTCTTTTTCTCTTATTTCTTCTTTATGCTAAGAGGATTATGCTGGTAAGTTGCCTGCTTTCTGTATAACTTTGTAACACCAGTAGCAATATCATACACTTTGTGTTTTTTCCATTTGTATCACAGGCTCAGATTGAGTATAGTAATATTATGGCTTTATGGAAAAATTATTTTCAAGTAAGGAATCTTGATTGTGATTTTTGGAAACTAGTAATAGATATGGTTTCAATCTAGCAAGCTACATGAACAAATGCCATATGCATATGATCATCTGGATGGAATTCAGAGGATGTCTGCATCCATATGGAACTTGTGTCTTTTTAATCCTTTCCTTGATTAAGCTCATAGAGCTTTTTAGTTTCCTCTTTGAATTCTTGCAGTGTCTGACCAAAATTTCCTAATATTGCAGGTCATTCAGTGAAATGTCAGAGTGATTGTGCAGATGTGAGTTTCTTTCATATATGAGGAGTGGCTGAGAGAGCTGGGGTTGTTTAGCCTGGAAAAAAAGGAGGGACCTTGTAGCACTTTACAACTACTTGAAAGTTGTATGGGGTCAGTCACTTCTCTCAGGTAACAAGTGACAGGAGAAGAGGAAATGGCCTCAGGTTGTGTCAGGGGAGGTTTAGTTTGGATATAGGAAAAATTTCTTCATGAAAAGTGTTTTCAAGCACTGGAACAGGCTGCCCAGGGAAGTGGTGACATAGTGCTTGGGAACATGGTTTAGTGGTGAAGATGGTAGTCCTGGGTTAACAGTTGGACTTGATGATCTTAGAGGTCTTTTCCAACCTTAATTATTCTAAGATTCTTGCTACCATTCTTTACAGCAGAGATACTCACTTTGTGAAAATCACCACACACACTGACACTGCTTTCAATCTTCTGTTGGTCTTAGAGAGACCATAGCTGAATTATCAGGGAGACTTGAGCAGTTTTCCTCCCCACACGTGTCAAATCTGTACCTCTTCATGAGTGTGTTGGTGGACATCACTCCTCAGATGTCATGGAGATCTTTGTGTTCGCCCTATCCCAAATACAGAACAGCAACAGCATCATTCTCAGCAAACTGCTTAGAAAGGGATGATCGTTGAAAGAGCCCTCTCGAAAAGCCATATAAGCAGATGCTTTAGTAACAAGTGTCACTTCAGGCAGTGAATTTTTGCTGGGTTGTTAGTGCTTTGTTGCTGTTTTTTTCCCTCTCGGTGGCTTAGTGTCAACCACAAAAGGAAGGAATAAAGGTACAACGACTGTTTTTTACAAAGGAAATACATTTGCTGATGAGAGCAAAGATAGCTTTGCTCTGTTACCATGCTGAAACACAGTGCAGAGATGCTAACTGATCCTGCGAATTCAGCTGGTTATTTTTATTTTCCTGTCTTCTAAACGTATGACATGCAGTGAGTTGTTGCATTGTCCGTCCCAGCAGCTCTGGGTAACTTTGGTCTGCAGTTGGGGCAGTACAGCGGCGCAGGTGCAGGGTGAGTCAGGGGGGATCAGTCTGTTTCTGTGCCCGTTTGCTGCTTTACTGCTCAGATGGGGGTTTGTCCACTTGCAACTGCACTGAGATCATTTACCATTGGACACACAGGATCCCTGCCAGAACTGCAGTGTGGGAACTAGGCAAAATTCAAGCAGGCAGTCACTACTAGAGAGCTCCACGCAGATTGTGCATCCCAGGGCACCAGAACACTTCTCAAGAAGTAAACACTCTTTTAAGTGAAATGCTTCTGTAGTGAAGGCTTAAGAAATACTCTTTGGGAGCTCTCACAGAAAAAAAAAAAAGAAAACAAATGGCAGCACATCAGCACATGAAGCAAATTGGAAGTTGCTTTGTAAGTGCAAGTGTGTTTAGTGAAGTGTTTTTCCTCTGTGTGCTTCAGTACTTCATTTTACTGTCGAAAGTAAAAGTAAGAGCCCACTGCCAGTGAAGCTGTTGTGGTGTCTCTGGCTTGGCCATCCCCTCATCAGCATGGTTAACGTCATAGTAGAATGTGACTGTGTGAGCTTCTCAGCGTGGCTTCAGGGCTAAAAAGGTAACCCTGAAATAAACGTTTGCTGTTTTGGAGTCTTTTCTGCTATGAGCCTTTTGACTCCACCTCCTCTCTTAGTGAAATCAGGTCAGTGGAAACTATTTCTAGCAAGCGTGTGCCAGACTTCTCCACGGGATTACCTCAGGTCAAGCAGACTGTGCTTGGTAAATGTCTTTTCTCTTGTAAACATCGAAGCTTGCTCAGTGCAAAAGCCAGCCTGTAACGTGGGGAAGATCCCCACAACAGTCTACTAACAGTGCTGACATCTTTAGTTCCACTGGCCTGGAAAATTTATTGCATTGGGGAAAACTGTGTTTAAAAATTACATTAACTGGTATGTTTTCATTTGGAAGGTTTAATTAGGGGGTAAAACCCTCTATTGAGCATTCTGTAAACTGTTGTTATTTAGTCTTGTGTTATTTTTCAGGGCATCTAATGTGAGGCAAACAAAACCCCAAAGCTATCTTTATCCTGAGTTAGATGCCTTGAAAAATTAAATTGTCCCTGGGACAATTTCTTGACTTTTTTTTAAAATTAAATGTTACCTCTATGGTTTATGTATAGCAGGTACAATGCCGTTACAACCTGAGATTAAACTCACAGCCAATATATAAAACATAGGGAAGTCACACCTCATGTAAATCAAATTCTGTGTTTCTGTGCTAGTTTGTAACTGTAGTGCTTAATAGGACAGGTGAAGAGGAGAGGGTGTGGAATCCCCATTCAGCGCGTGGCTGCAAAGCGATTCGTAGGTGTTCAAATACAATGGATTTCAAGTTGTTTAGGCTTCTAAATTTGTTTTATTTCAAATGCTTCCTTACTAGAGATAAATATGCTTCATCTCTAAATGCACATGTGGTAGGTAGATTTTAAATTCAACCTAATAATTTACCCCACTCCAATAACCTCTGTGTCTCAAAATTCGGGAATAAGAAAGGTAATTGGAAGTTCTATAATTTTGTTAACTCCCCTTCTTGTTTTTAGCACTACTGACTTTTCCAGTAGAATCTAAGCGTTAAAATATTACCATGTTGGAAACAGTCGACTACATATGATACGGTGCTGTATTTTATGTATTAACTTACTCAATGTTTTATTGCTCTTTAAAACTAGAGCTTGCCTGAAAGGCGGAATAGAAATGACAATTCAATACTCTGGTATTGCAAAGTTTTAATAATCAAAATTCACATGCTTAGGAATTTATGATACTGTTTCCCCCCCCCTAAAATTAAGGGAGAGCTCCAGTAGTGTCATTATTTTGTTGTGCTCTGCCTATTCCTACAGTGAAGGCATGGTTATCCCATGAGATCAAGTCAGTGGGGAATGGTAGATGGGTGAGAGAGGAGGAAGATGCTCCTTGTTCACCTGAAACCTTGCTTACCCTTACTGTGAAGTGTTATCTGACACTGGTCTTGTGAAAGATTTAGTGTGTGTCATCCCAGTGCCACTGTACAGCAGGTTTTCACCTTCCCAAGTAGGGTATAGAAGAGATCACAGAATTGATTAAGTTGGAAAAGACCTCTGGGATCATTGAGTCCCACCTATGACCTAACACCACCATGTCAACTAGACCATGGCACTAAGTGCCACGTCCAGTCTTTCCTTAAACACATCCAAGGGTGGTGACTCTACCACCACCTCCCTGGGCAGCCTGTTCCAATATCTAATCACTCTTTCTGTGAAGAATTTCTTTTTAATGTCTGATCTAAATCTCTCCTGGTGCAGCTTGAGGCCATTTCCACTTGTCCTGTCACTGGTTGCCTGGGAGCACCTGGATGCAACCTCCTTTCCTAGCTGTAGAAAGTGATAAGGTCACCTTTGAGCCTCCTCTTCTCAGATTCCCTCCGCAGTTCCTCATAGGACTTGCACTCCAGACCCTTCCCCAGCTTCGTCGCCCTTCTTTGGACTCAATCTAGCACCTCAATGTCCTTCCTTAAGTGAGGGACCCAGAACTGAACACAATACTTGAGGGGTGGCCTCACCAGTGCTGAGTACATGGGGACAGTCACTACCCTAGCCCTGCTGGTCACAGTATTCCTGATATAGGCCAGGATGCCACTGGCCTTCTTGGCTGCCTGGGCACACTGCTGGCTCATGTTCAGCTGGCTGCCAACCAACACCCCCAGGTCCTTTTCCGCTGGGCTACTTTCCAGCCACTCTGGAAAATATGTATGACATGTAATACGATGATGTCAGGAGGGAGAATGGAAGGTGTCTAATGTACTTTATAGCTCTCCTTCCCACCCACGATGTCAGAAGCATCACTTTTGTGCTTGCTTGTCTCCTTTGGAGGTGGGATTTGAGGGAGACAGACTGTCTGTCTTTTCTGATTAAAGTGCAGGAAAGGCTGACTTTTTCTGCTGGGTTGCAATGTGCCATCAATGAGGCAATGAATTCCTAATATAGATGAAGAGAACATCTCTCCTCTGTGTTTATATGCTGTATGACTTTAGTGCAGGCTGTACTCTGGCTTCCCTCAGTTAATCAGCATGTCAGGATTGTTTGCATTTTGGTTCTCTCTGGCTTACCATGGGCCCAATTTTCTAAGTCAAGTGTCTAAATTTAGGCACTTAAAGGCATACGGTTATGGCTCAGACCCTGAGTTTTAAAGTTACTCACTTCACTTATTGGCATGAAATGCTTGCCATAAGAAACATATGCAACAAATTGAACCAATTTGAATCAAGTGTTAATGTTCCTCCATAAAGCTAAAAGATAAAGCACTGACAAAATAAAAATCTCTGTTTATTGCAGTAGAACTGCTGGTTCGCTGACAGCCTCTGTCTCTCTTAAGGATTAAAAAAAATCTGCCTTTTCATATGCTTAGAGGATTAGGATTTATGTATCTTTGAAAGCAAAACTAAATTTTGTCTGGGAAAATCTACTTTGAGAAACGGTGTTGAAGATAATGGTGAAAACAGCTTATAAATAATTTTTCTTGAAAGATTAATTGGAATAAAATTTAGAATGACTATTTTACAATATTGCAGTTGTCTGGAAGGTGAAAAGTCATTGTTGAATTTGTCCATTCCTTAGCTGGTTTAGGTGACCCAAAGTGAGCTGACGTACAAGCCCTTATGTTACAATTGTATTCAAGTTCTGTGCATATTTAAGTACATTCTGAATTTTATGTACAAATTTTTTTGCTTACATTTCAAGCAGGGACCGCTGAAACAATAAAAATAATTTCTGATTATGAAGTTGGTTGATATTGTGTGTTCTGGTTTTGGGTAGAAAATGCAAATTGCCCACACAGAATTACTTGTGGACTCTGGAAAAAGACCAGTGATATTTAGTGATAAAAAAAGACCATTTAGAATGAAAGAATGTCTTTTGCCAGAATTTGTGCATTTACTATGCTCCGCGTATGAATTATCTTGAAAATCAGTTTGATTTATCTTAGGGGGATAGTCTGGTTGCAAACAGTTTATCTTAACCACTGGGATTGTAATCAGTAGGTCAGTTTAGCCAAGGATGATCCAAAATCTCTTGAAAATGTCTGCAGAACATGAGTATTTTAATGTTATTTTAGATAGAGACATCATTGAATGTAACTTTTGCACTTTTCTTCTTTCCTTACCTTTAGAATTTTCTGGGGAAAATACAGTTCTTGAACTAAAAAAAACCTTCAACTTTTTTTTCTTTAATTGCGTTCCAGAAAATATATTGCAATAGTTAAAATGAGTAGCTGTAATATTTGGATTAATCATCTACATCTCTTAAAAAAGTTCCGTATACTGGTCAAACTGTTTAAATAGCATGTATACAAACTTGAGTTTTAATTTCCAAGTTGAAGACATCAGTTGTGTTCAAACAGAAACTTTTCTATATGGTTAATGTTAATTTATCCTCAAATTGAGAAACAATCCTCAGTGAAGACAGGTTCTCATGTGGAACTGGTTTTACATGCAGGCATCACAATTAATGCTTTAAAAATAATGGTAAATCCTCATCACCCATTTCCACCTCTTGACTATTGTGGTTGTGAAGGTCTCATAGGTAATGTGAGATCTGGGAACCCTGTGCTGGTGTCCCCGGGGACATAGAGGTGGGGGAAAGCAGTGTGAGCAGGTGCTCATCCCTTGCTTTGCCAGCCGTGGGTCCCTCCAGATTGCAGTTGTTCAGTGCCAGGTTTTGTGTTCAGAGCTCCAGAGCCCTTAGAAACTGTATATGGACTACAGTTACCCCTGGAGCCTCTGCCAGTGAGGAAGTGGTCAGTTGTCCCCATGGTGTTCCCCCCATCTTTCTTCTGACCTACCTCTAAATGCTCTTGGCTGTGTCCTTTACCCTCACGGGAAGCAGCTCCTGATGCCCCCATGCATCAGGAGTTTTGTCTTTTTTCCTAGTCCTTAGGTGCAGCAGCTCACATTTGCCTTCAGTGCCAAGAAGCTCTGTCAAGTTGGAAATGGGAACTATAAGTGGCTCTATTGGGCATACTGGTTATTTCTATGCTGCATGTTTAGTTGGCACCAAAGCTTCTGGGGGGTTGTGAGCCTGGCTCAGGTACAGCTAGCTCATGTTTTCAGAGGTTCCAGATCCCACATGCCTGTACACTCCCAGTTGGACAGTGTATCTTGCACAGGCTGTTCACAAGGCAGTTGGACGGCCAAGAAGCAAGTGGGAAACTGCTGTGCTGACAGCTATTCTGGTATTTGCACACAGTCCTAATTGATAGAGCTATTCATGTGGGGAAATAAGCATCTGTATCTGCAGAATCAACATTTTTTTAGGGCACTGAGGAGACAGACAATAGGAGAGTAACAGTAAGAAGAGCCGGAGTTATGTTACAGAAGTGTTGCTGTATTCTAGTGTTGCACTGAATTTGGTCTTTGCCTGAAAGAAAGCTCAGTGGACTGCAGAAGCTGGTATTTCCTAGTGGTGTGATTTCTTCTGAACTACAATTTGCACTGCTGCGCGATAGGGAGACATAAAATAAGGCTTTGTGTGTACTTAGCAATTAAAAATTCCAGTGCAAGTTACTGTGGGGTTGTTTTGAACCCAGGCAATTGTCTTATGCCTGAGTGCCTCCTTCAGTTTTAATTGGATGTTTTCCACTTGTTGCTAATACAGTTATGCCCTTTAAAGGAATAAAGACATTCAGTAAGAAAGTTGGGAATAATTTGTACTACAAGACATGTAACTGTTGTTTCTGTCTTTGTTATAGTCCGCTGATGATAATTACACAGAAGATCACAACACTTGCATGCCAGTTACATGATGGTAAGAAAAAGGAATCTCTTCCCACGTCCTGATGATGACCTTTTTATTCCAGTGCGTTCTATGGCTGAGATATGGAGTGAATGAGTTGTAGTTCAATGAGTTGTTTCAAATGAAGAAGAAAAGTGCTTTGTGGAGGAAAATGAGAAACTTCAAATTGTGATCAGTTCTCTAGGATCAAATTGTCTTTGCAATGTCAAAGACAACTGTATTTTTCCCTTTGGGTGCTCTAGTTCCTTTGGGCCCAATTTGGATTTTAGCTAGTACTGGTATCTCCTGTTTAGATGCTACAGTGCATCTCCATGAAGCTCTCTGAAGCTGTTATTGGTTCTCAGAGGTCAAGAGTTGTGTTTGGTGCATGGTTTCAGTCATTAGCATTAATTTAGCAAAAAATATGCTAGCTCTGATATATTCAGTGGTAATATACTCCATGAGTTGTGAGAGATAGAATTCAATAGCTTTTTCCCAGTGCAGAGAGAAGCACAGTTGCAAGCAAAATAGCATTGTCTTCAGTCTTGTGCTGTGCTGTGACAAAGAACACTATTATTTCCCAGTAAAATGCCTGCGTGTAGTACAGTGTACAGTGCAAAGGCTACAAATGTCAGTTGTCATCAGTAGCAACTATTGCTTGCACCTACTGATGTTGCAGTGTGAATTTCTGATGGTCTGAGGCCCACTGCATTATAAGATGTGGGCAACTAAATAAGTAACCTGCTATAGAGTTGTTATGATCTAGGATTTAGGTGATGGCCACATCACAGACTGCAGGGTTTGCATTGTTTGCAAGCCAGGTTTGCACTAGTGAGTCTAAAGTACAGCTTGAAGCTTAGCTAATTGACCTTGTTATTGGCATTCATGTTGCTGGGGCTTCCCTGCCTCTGTTAGTTAAGCTAGCAGCCAGCTCAGCATGCCACAGCAGTGTGCAGCCTAGGTACACACCTAGAATATGGAAGGTAAATGAACAGACAGAAAGGAAAAAGATAACAGCAGAGGCAGGAGTGTTTTAAACAGATCAGAAATCCTACAGATTAATGACAGTAGAAAAAGCTCATTATATTGTGAACACCCATATATGGAGCAGTTGATCAAACGGGGGCAGCTTGCAGTTCAAGCATCAGTGACAAATTTCTATTTGTAAAAGTTTAACACAGCTGTCCATAAATGGAAACAGACAAACAAAATACCCAGCCCTTTAAGTAATTAAGTGCTTAATTGTTTCTCTGAAGCTCAAGCTCTCTTAATATTTACAAACTGAAACAGTAGAGAGAGAATGGAAATGAGGAGCTTATCAGCAGTCGTTTTAGGAAATGGGTCCTCTGTGTGTGTATTGGTAATTATGGCCAGTAGGTTTAAAACAGTAGTGTAAGTTGATGCCAAGCCCCTCACCCACATGCATGCTTGGATCAGTGCTGTGAATCATCCCCTGGTGAGTTGTGCTGAAGCCAGTGGGATTCCTCACAGTTAAAGCTATAGAGTGAAGATCTGGAGCTATTTGCTATAAGCAACATCGGTTTACCACTGGCCATCACACAAGATTTTTCCTTAAAGTTTTCCTGGGATGTTGAGTCTGTGCTCTACCTCTGGCCCCAAAGGTCTTGTGCACTCAACAGGAGGTCACCCTTCCAGTCTGGACCTTGTACAATTCCAGATTATTACTGATGTGTATGTTTAGGCTTGCTCCAGCAGCAGGCAGCTGGGCTGCTCTTTCACACCAGTGGAGCTTCTGTTCCCTGAGAGCCTGCTTCCCTTCCACTGCCCACTCCTCCTGCTGTGAAATGCTCCATTTCTCACCAAGGAGCCAGTGGGAGGCTTGTGCTTAAATGAGCCAGCGGCTTCTGGCAACTGAGGTTTTTCCAGCCCGGGACTGTTTGTAGAGGCTGCTGGGGGTCACTGCCAGTTGATGGCATTGCCAGTTCCATTGTGTGTGTGGGAATGCTATGGCTGCTCTTCCTCACAGTGTAGGGTGAGAAAGGGGGAATGAGGTAAGAAACTGGGTAAAGAGATAGGGTAGAACATGAATATACTTGACCTAAAAGTTAGGAATTGAGATGTATTACAACTGCCCGTGACAAAGAAATTTTGAAGTTTGTGGTTTTAGAAAGTTGCATGTGGGGTGCAAACATTAGGCTTTGGGAATAGCTTTTACTGTTTGTCTTTTGGAAAGATCTAATGTGACTTTTTTTTTCTAGGAATAGGGCGACAAGCTGAGGAACTCACTGCTGAGCAAAATCGGCTTGCTGTAAAGTAAGGACGTAATTCCCCTAGTGATTTGTGTTTAATTTCTCCCAAAGAAGTTTAGGGTGTGGGTTGTTTATTTGTTTTTATTGTTTTTTTCTTTTCCATTGCAATGTTAGGAACAACTTCGTGTCTTGGCCATGAAAATGTTCCCTGCTTCTCTCCAGTCCATGATATGCCAAAAGTCCTATGTGCTTTTTCTATTTGCTGCTTGAGTATGTGTTTTTGTAATGCTGCTGTTATTGCCCACCTTACACAAACATAACTTCTCTCCTATATTCCTTATTTCTTCAATCCAGGGCTTCAATCCAATCCCTGTGCTGGTCAGTAAAGCACTGAAATACTTGGCAATGTCTTATTGACTTAAATACATACTCCACATGCAACAAAACTAGTCTTTGCTGAATCAACTCTTTTAAATTCAGGCTAAGACTCTACTATATGGACTTTTTGGCTGTTATCTTCATCTGGTCTATGATATGTTATTTTCCTAAGTAGAATACTTCTACCCTGTCGGCAAACCACTGCATAGTGGTTTGACTCTGAAACTTCAAGTATTGCTTTCCTTTGCCATCATTTTTGAACGCTGGAATTTTATTTTTTCTGTCTCCCTCCATAATGTTAATACTCCCAGTTCTTCATGTTATGTGACCAGTCTTCTCATTTTTCAGAGAGCATGCTGATCATCTCTTTTAAATACCTTTTTTTCTAATTTGTCTCTCAATACAAGTGCAGGATGCAAGTCAGTTTGTTGATTTTTTTTAAGAATCTGTGTTACAGAATTAGTCTTACAACCGTAACTACTTTTCACCATGAAGTGTTTGTTTAAGGCCAAGGAAATTATTTCCTTCATTTCCAAGGCAGAAGATTAGCCATCAGAAAATCTACCTATGAGCGTCAAAAAGTAGGAGAATAATTTCTTGAAAAGCAAAAATCCTGTAGGTGGTCTTGTGTCTATTTTTAAGGCTCGCAGCGTAATGTTTAATGCACTGGGCCCTTGTGACCATATGATTAATTCTAGTCAAATTCTTACCAAACAGGCTTTTTTTTTTTTCTTTTACAGTAGATGAGCTCATAACTGAAGAGTTTTAAATCCCCTTTGGTAATACAGCCTTTTGTCTTCCCTCTTGTTCTTGGTCTGTTTTTGTTTCTCACTCATCCTCTGTACATTCCTTCATGCATTGCTCATGTCTCCCCACCCAACCATGTGCAGTATCTAAGCTGAAACTAATGACTTTGTTTTTAATCTTACTGTAGACCTCAGAAGCTCAAATCATGGACCTGATTTTGTAGAACAGAAAGATGAGACTTACCCCAAATTGTTTGCTGCATCTTTCTGTGGAATGCTTTCACCAGAGAGCATACTGTTCAGGCACTAACATCTACAATAACCAGTAGGGTGAATGCAGAAAATCCTGGCTAATCTAACTGTTTATTCAAACTAATTCCACTTCAGAATAGAAGTAGGCAACAGAAAATGTTTAACTGTTGCTTAGTTTTTCTGCTAGAAATTTGTTTTAGTCTGAGAGAATTTTAAGTGGGTTTTGGTTTATGCTTGTCCATCTGTGCCTTGAACAGGAGAGCCCTGAAACACTGTGCTCAAGTTTGTGCTCTCATCTCAGGGCTCCATGTTGACTTGAATGGTGACTATTATCACATTTGTGGAGAGCACTCAGTGCACGATATTGATGTTGGCATTTTTTTGCCACATTAAAAAACCGAGCCTCTGTGTGTCTTATTTTTCCTGTAGCAAGGACAGTAAATCTTCTTCATTTTACATAAAATGTAAAATTCCAGAAGGAACTGGTGGGATATGCACGTGCAAAATGAAAAAAATAAACACGATGGACTTTCTTTGACTTTCATCTTCAGCTGTCTTATAATTTATGTGGGTTTTTTTCCCTTAGTTCCTTTTCCTGTTCATGATGCAATATAGGCAATTACTTCCTTTATTTGCACAGTAGGAGAGAGTCTCTTCATTCTCTTCCTCTGTGTCTTACGTGACACTTCCCATTTTTCAAAAGGGTGGACTGAAGGGTGAGTGAGAGCCTCTCTCAGGACTGAGAGCCCTGGTCTTAAAAGCTCCCTGCCCTGTGGTTTGTATAACAAGGCACTATGGTCCCTGACGTACTGGACAGATGTCCAAAATTAATTACCAGCTTCTCACTCCTGGTACTGGTGGCCTGGTCAAAATGCACAAGCCAGTTTGTTTGAAAGTGGATATTTAAATTTATTACTGTTTGAAACTAAAATCTTTGTAAGATTACAACTTCTCAAATCCTTAGCGTTAGTTCATGTGTAGCTTAAGCACTTCCATGTTACTTTTGTTCTGACTGCCATCTGCCAGACATCGCCAGAATATAAGGCAGACTGTGTTTCATCTTCCCCCAAACAGATCTAGTGAGCTTTCAACTGGGGTGAGGATGATAGGAGAGAGGTGGGGAAATGAGGCAGACCGTGCAAACAAAAACTGGTGAAAGCCTTTGCTGTGTTTTACCTTGTTTTTTTTGTTTGTTTTGTTTTGTTTTGTTTTGTTGTGTGTGGCTGATTTTTCACAGGTCAAGACCTTCTTTACTGGAGTATTTAAGTTATCTCCTCAATTTTATGAGCATCATAGCTGGGCCTTGCAGCAATTACAAGGATTATATCGCCTTCATTGAAGGGAGGCATGTGCACATGAAACTGTTAGAAGTGAACTGGAAGCAGAAGGGTTATGACAGGCTTCCTGATCCTTCTCCAACTGTAAGTTTTAAAATGACGAAGATTTATTGCAGAGGGTAGGAGAGTACAGCTTTGTACATGATTCTCATAATTAAAAACTAAGAATTAAAGACAGTTTTGGATTATCTTCCCAGTAAATGTTACACTGTGTTTTTTCTATGTGTGGCTGCTGTTTTTATCACAAGGTCAGGGGTGAAGGGACTAGTGAATTCCCCAAATGGGTTTGGCTTGCCGAACGAGTCACTGGTTAATGCGCACTCCTTTGTGAAGCAGTGGGAATGGTCTGAAGGTTCTGACAATGACAAGTTGCAGTTAAGCTCCAGACAGAAGAGGAAACATCAGGAAAAAAGTAAAATTTCCCCTGTAGTGCAGGAGATGTTAGAAATATATAATTCATGGCTTATCAGAAGCTGTAGCCTGTCCAGGTGCTTTGCAAGAGAATCTCACACTGTAATATGACTCAGAGGTAAGTTTTTCACATACTATTAGCATTAATTTTATTTTATATTTTTTTTAATATTACTTAAAACCTTCTTATAAAATGGCCTTCTGGTACAACAGGATAACACATGAAAACCAGATTTCTTTCTCTTATCTTAAGGTGACACTGAACGTGTAGCTTTGTGAGTGTGGGCAGAATGTTTCCTCTGAGGTTGAGTATGAGCTTAGGCATTGCTGATTCCTGTTGCACACAGTTGTCTTTCTACTGGCTCTAGAGGTGTCACTTCTGATTTACATTAGTCTGACTGAGGTCAGAATAAGGCCTATATTGCATAAGATGTAAATCAGCAGAGAATATTATAATCTACATTAGAAAATAATTTCACAATAATTTATTCCAGAATGTGGACAATATATAAAAAGAGTACTTTGGTTCATAAACCACATTGTTGTTTCAATAGTATATTGCATTTTAGTACTCTTTTCAAAACATGAGTCAGGTTTTACGTGGTACCCAAGTGTCAGATTTACTTTTTAATTATGACTGTATCTAGAAGGGTTTACTCATTATGTGTGTTTGACCCTGAGATTAGCAGCCTGGTGCTAATAACACTAAGGTTGTGGGTTTGATCCCTGTGTGCGCCATTCACTTGAGAGTTGGAGTCAATGATCCCTGTGAGTCCCTTCCAACTCAGAATATTCTGTGATTCTGTGAAAACAAGCTTCAAACTACTGACATGATTGTCAATAGTAGTATATAGGAAGGTAGGTAGCTGTAATAGAAAACACTGTGGCAGAGCAGATACCCTGTACCATGGGTACAAGTGTACTGTACAACACATAGACTTTTTGGACAAGTGATTTTTAGCAAGACCTCTGGGTGGTAGCTGGGCAGTAAGACCTACTCCTATACTGAATATCAATGCTTTTGGCTTTGAGGAGGAACCCAGTCTTCAGTTCCAGGAGATGATAGTACATATAAAGAGGATTTCTGCTTTCCATTGTAGGGTTTTGTTTGTTTTCTTTCTCATTTTAGGACCTCCACTAACTAGTGTAGGAGTCTTTCATGAAGTTCATCACCAATCACAAATGACTTGTGACTGATTGTCCCTTGTACGTATCTATAGGTAGTTCAGTAAACCAAATGAAACTAAACCTTTGACTCTGGCCTTTTCTTCATCACCTCTTCTGAATTAGTCAGTACCAACTTTGTAATTTCTAACTTTATTGGTTCTTGAAGCACATTGGTTTTGTATGTCGTGAACACTGCCTTGTTTTCCCCTTAATCAAATGTTTCTAATGAATGTTTCATTGTTTTGTCTTTTTAGGGAGCAGTGATGTACAAGCTTTTTATCACACTAGTATCTCTCATTTTATTCCTGACGCTTACCAAGAACTTTCCTATGGCGTATATTATTGATAACGAATTTCTTGATAAAACGCCCTTCTTGTCAAGACTTGGTTACCTGTATGTTGTAACACAGGCAGCAAAACCAAAGTATTATTTTGCATGGACGTTGGGTAAGTGTGGCTACATCATGTATTTTTGTGTGTAACAAATAAGTTCATAAATGGGAGAGAGGTGAAACATTGCGGATGGGGACAGAATAAAATGGTCCCTAGACCTGTAGTTCACTTGAGAGGTGTACTGTGTTCCTTTAGGCAGGGAACCCTGGTGAAGTGGGGAGATGTCAAAAGTTTTGAAAAAACATGCATAAAATCTATTCCAGCTTGTCTGTGAAGATTCCCTGTGTCTGGAGCCAAATCTATTTTTCAGCTTCTTTACAGTAGAGTCAATGTAACGATTTCCTCTCACTTAAAACTTTGTTAATATATCAAATTAATTATTACAGGAAAACCTCCTCTTAACATTGATTTTTATGCTTTACTCATAGCTTTTTACTTATACCGATGGGGTTGAGAGGTTAAAATTTGTCATGCTGGCTCAGGCTTTGCATGTTACAGTGCAAACAGACCCCTGTCTTTCTTTAGGGCCCTCTTTAACACATGTCTCTCTATTAGAAAGCTGTGGTGCATGTTGTGGGGCTGAAGTTAGGCTGTGCCTCTAGGGCACTGTGGGGTCCTGTATACACCTTGGCTTTGAGCAGTCCAGAGAAAGGACTGGAGAACCACGGGGAACAAAGGAGAGGTGTTGGGAAGGACCCAAAAATCTCTGCAAGGAAAAGGAGAAGTAAGACAGCTCATTAGAAAGAGAAACAAATTTCTTTTAGGAACCAGCTAGACTGGTGGTCAAAATAATCTTTTTGCATTGTACCTTCTTTCTTTTAGAAGTCACGTTTCACATCTGTGTGTGAGGAGTCAGATCCTTTATGCCAGGCTGAAAATCTACTGAATTTTTTTGCTGGTATTACAAGACACTGTGTGTAGGGGAGATCCTAAAAGCCCAACCAGCAATGCATATACCTGAAGCTGAGAAGGATGTCACTGAGATGGGATGGAAATAGTCAGGGAGATTCATTGCGAGACTGTGATTAAACTGCTGGGAATAAAACTGTCAGATCGAGGAAAGGCAGCCAGGACTGGCATGTGTGGGATGGGAAAAGCTTTAAGATTAAGAATGGCTTGCTCACAAACTTATTTTTGTGGGATCCAATGTCAAATTGTTGCCTCCATTTTTTCCAGCATTATAGTTAACTGAAAGTCCATTATTGAACTTGGATTTGTGACATGACTAAACCATAGAGACTGTAGAAATATCTTACAAATGAGGGGGGGGGCGGGTGGAAAGCATGCATTACATACTGGAGGGTGAGGCCTCCTTTATTCATACTGCAAATCCAGGCAGCAGAACAGCAGACACTTTATCCTTTTGCAGTTTTGCTCCTGGTGGTGTGGCCCAGGGCATTACAAAAGTGCCTGCTGAAATGGGCTGATAAACGCTTCCTGTCCTCAGAAAAGGACAGGCACGCTATTGTGTGAGAGCTGCGCTGCTGAATTCCTCCAGATCCACGGAAAGAAAATTCAGCTTCTTGCTGCATTAGCGATAATCATGGGAACGTGGCTGCAAATCTAACTCTGAGCTGTCAAACCACTTCAGATCTGAGTGCCTCCACCCAAGGAGTGGTGAAAGCCATACACCAGAGCTGTTCAAGTCAGCAGGGAGACAAAACCTCTGCTGAGCTTTGTGGAGATTGGGGTTTTGTGAGCAATTTGAGTGTGGACAGTTGTCATCTTTCTGTGCTTCACACCTCGCTCTGCAGACAGCAGCTTGGGAAGCAAGAGGCTGAGGGGTCTGCTATATTATAACTGCTGATCCTATGATTTCTGATTTCTTGGTTTTGGCAAATAAACACTAAATGATTGGTCCCTGCAACCCTTAGGGCACGAAGGAGCAAATGCAGGAGTTCCCCTGCTCTGGGGTGACTGTTACATGCAGCTCCAGCCTCTGAGTTTGGGCAGGATCCTATGGGCCAACTTCATGCAGGGTTGTTGTTTGTCGTTCATTTGGGTTTTTTTGAACAGGGAGATAATTAAAAACATGGAGGCCTTTCTTTCCATCAATAAAATCTGGCTCATTTAGTAAAGTGGAAAATAAAATGGAAAGTTTCAGGTTAGACAAGGCTACTTGTTTATTTATTTGTTGTTAGTCATGTTGCTTTTAATTAGATTCTCTCCCTAGTTTTGTGCATTAGGGCTTCTCCATGAGCTTGTGCCTGTACTCATAGCATTTACAAAGCAAAATCAATTTTCTTTATTGGAAAAGAAATACTGACCTTTTTAAAGCATAACCAGGCTTTTATTTTGTAAAGGATCTAGAAAGAAAAGCCTTACCTGTATTTGCACTTCACTTTTTCTTCCAATGATCCTCAGTTTTGGCTGCAACTAGTGATTCAGAGGTGATAATGAATCCTCCCTTCTGTTTTCTTAGTCCTGCAAGAAGGTATTTCTAGCAGGGGCACACTGAAAGCAGAATCTCGAGATCCAGTGATGAGGTGACTTCCAGTTAAGTCTGAGGGGGGGAGATAGTTGACCAGCACCCTGGGCAAGAACAAGTGTGTAGCAATATGTAATGCCTACTGTTATCCAAGCTTTTACTTGTGCTTAAAGTAGCTAAGTCTGTAATTGAAGTTACTCAATATTTGATTTGTAGAGGTGAGACACTTTAGTGAGGCACTGGGCAGCAGGATTAGCATAAGGCTTTGTCTGTGGAAGTCTGAATGCCAGTCTTAATTAGAACAGTCATGTTGGAACTCTTAATAGAAATGGTAAGCATGTCTTTGAGACATTACAGCTTTTCAGAATTGTGGAAGATGCTGTGACATCCAGTTGCCCTTTTGAAGAGAATACTCATTCATTTTATGGCCACACTTGTATATCTATCTCAGGTGAATAATAAATGCAAAATAATAGGAAAAGTGATTTTTATTCATTGTTATTTCTTTTGCCTAAGGGGTAGCTAGTCTTTCCTCTTCAGGAAATGACTCTTATGTAGCCTAATTGTAGTGCCCCTTTGCAAAGAAAAAGCTTTTCTTGGAAAGAGAGGTTGCTAATTGCTACAAAGCTGGTTTGAATGTGTGTTTAGTGTCATACTGACTTGTAAGAAAATATGGCTTTTCCAGCAGTCTGATTTTGACCTGTTTTGCTTTGAAATTGCAGCAGATGCAGTCAACAATGCAGCTGGTTATGGATTCAGTGGAGTTGATGAGAGAGGCACTTTCCGCTGGGACCTGTTGTCCAATTTGAATATCTGGAACATTGAGGTGAGATAAAGGAGCGGCTGCATTGGCATAATTGTAGAGAAATGGGCATGATAATGGGGAAAGGCTTTGTTGAAAGGAAAATAAGTCCATACCACCAGACTGCTCCTCTTTAGCGTGAAGAGGTTTTGTATTTTATCTGTTGGGCAGATAAAAAGCATCTGTCTCACAGGCTTCCTCATGGTCTGCATTCAGGTTGTATTTCTAAATATTTTCCTGAATGCTAATAAATAATTATATCAGATATTTAATAAATGAGCAGTCAAGTGCTGTAGATTGTGGCTGAGCTCAGTGGGTCAGTAAATTGCTCACAGCTATGATTCTTCACCATCTGTGAAATGTCTGTTTATTTACTTCTAACACTTTCACTTTTGTAGCCTAGTTGAGATAAGTGGTAGTAGTGAAAGAGGCACAAGCAGTCATTGCACAAACACTTGGAAGGGCTGGAGTGCCTCTTGTAAATGGAGAAAAGCAAGGGTAGGAGGCATAACAGGTACAAATCAAGCAACCTGAATGGGAACTGACAGAGCCACATAGAGCTTAGATGGCTACTAGTCTAGAGCGCCATCCAGCAAGCCACACTGTTTCTCAAAACATCTGTCACACATTTCTTGTGACTGCAGTGTACTTTTAAAATCCATTAGTCTTTTGTAAGCTATTTGTGCTTGTATCTCTAATGCAAAAGATGGCCAACTGTTTCCCCTGAAAAATATTCTGTGAATGCCAGTGAGATAGGAAAATATTTATGTGTCTGAGACTGCTTTCTAAGGGCTTCTTTTTTAGAAATAGGAGGAGCTTCCCTCTGTAATTTTGTAGTTATGATTTTAAACATAATCATGGAGGAAAATAAGTTGAATGCTTTATTGCAGAATGATCTGTGATTAAGTAAACGTGCTGTAATAGCTCTGCTCAAAAATGAAAGAGCTCCTGTAATTCTTCATTGAAGATGCCAAAATTGGAAGTATCATGATACGCTCCCTCTTTTTCAACATTCTTTCTTTTTATTTTTAATATTAATTAATTCTCAGTGTACATCTCTCCTTGAGCAGTACAGAATACAGAGCCCAGAAATGTTTTACACTCCTCAATGACAGCAGCGCCCTAGGTGCCACTCTGAGATCTTGAATAAATATCTGATTCAGTCTTCAGCAGGAGATGATTCCTCCTTTGATGAGCTGAGGAAACTTTTGTTTGAAGTAGGAAAATGAAGAGCAAGCAATGCTCTTTAGTCGAGCCAAATTAAGGAAATAGGAGCTTTTGCTCCTCTCTAGCCACTGAACTGTAGGCCTCTCAAAACTTACTTCCTTTATTGGTCTCACGAACAACAGAGATCAGATATTGTTTCCAAGAGCATAAAGCAGAGTGCTCTCTGATCTGATCATGTGTGCAATGAGAAAAAAAAGGAGCTACAGAGACCATGACTTCAGGTAAGCCTTGAACCATCACTTTATGTGCCAACAACAATGCTGGAAATTGAAGTGTGATTGTGCAGTATGTACAGGTATAGTCTGTATATTCAACATATGTAAAATTGCTTAAGAGTTGGGAACCTGAGTGCTAAATGGGACTATGTGATCTGTAGTAAGATAAGCACATGGCAGGAGTGGTACAAGCATTAAAACGTGGACAGGGGCTAAACACATGTTGGGGACGTGAAAGCCTTGGCAACATGCTTGTTTTGACAGCCAGTGACTACTTTCACTCTTGGTAATGTAACTGGGGAAATTAAAGGAGGCCAAAAGAGAGTGACAATATTAGTTGGATGAGAAACTGTATTTTTCTTGGCTTCTCTTGGTGCAGTAAGGCAATTAAAATGTGGCAGTGCTGCACTGGGAATTGCTAATCATTTTAACTCTAAATTCAGAGGATGAATTGCTAGCCTTGGGATTCTTTGTGGAAGTGCAAAGATATCTGCATGTTCCCTTTGGAAATCGTTGCCCTTAATACATCTTTTCAGTGTGCGCTTGCCTGCAGCTGATATGGCAAAATAATGCAGTGTCACTGAATCATGACCCTGCTTGGTGAGGGGGCCCTTGAAGGTTTTTGTCAGCAGGCATGGAGCCAAGGCAGGGAGCAGGGATGGAGAACCACCAGATGTGAATTTGATCAGGATTAGGGAACCGATGCTGAACAACGGAGTCCAGCAGTCTCCTAAAGCTGGGGGAACTCAGAGGAAGTATGGGTGGTTCTCTCAGGACCCTGGAGTCTACTCTGGTTTCTCAAGCTTGGCAGTGCACTGACAGTTGGCTTCTAAATTTAGTCCTAAAATTTTTTATCCATGTTTTTCAGTCTCCCCCCCTTCCTTCTCCAAATAATAATGCATTTCTTTTGATTTTTTTAACACATTGTTTTAATTGTACTCTAGGAGAGTCCAGACTGCATAATTGGGTGGCAAGGTATCTCTTCCAAAAATGGAGCTGTTTATGAACTGAAGGGAAGACCAACCATATAAAACAAGAAAGCTTTTCAGATTTGCCATTATTTGAAAAATAACCAAACATTGTATTTAATTTTATGTAACAAAGTGAGACTTTAGAGCAAGTGCCAAGTTGGCAGTGAGCCATCAACCTAGTTGATGTCCCTCCCAAATCATATTAATGTAATGATGGATTGTGGCACGGTCTTCACAAAAGTTAGCAGCTAGAATTAATATTTTCCATGTACCTCCTCATGAATTTAAAATGCAAGTAGTATTTTACAGGTTTCAGTGCTAACATTTCACATGAACTTCTTTCTTAGACTGCAACAAGTTTTAAAATGTACATTGAAAACTGGAACATTCAGACAGCTGCCTGGCTAAAACGGTAAGAGTAATCAAACAGTAACATGCATGTGAGACCCAAAACCACTACATGGCCTGGAAAAACGCTGACTGGTGGATCTCATAAATGTATAGCCTCTTGTGCTTTCTTTGTTTCGGTGTCTTAAACAGTTGGTGGTATACAAGGGTATTTGGTGCTGTAAAGTTTTATTGCTGCAAATGTAAAATGTTCATATTTTATATATGAGCAGCAAAGTAATACATGAACTGTTCGAATCCCTCATAATAGGAAGTAATAGCATTTTCTTGTTTCTCTCCATTATTCTTCCTATACTGTTTTGCTTTACTGTGCTACATTTCCCATGGAGAGGTGAACCTTGCTGTGTCACTGGGATCCAGTTCAGTAAGAAATGGAGAGAAGTCAAAATCTTCAAAGTCCAAGTGTAGTCTGAAGATGCTTGCCAAGGAGTCCTTGTTTAGGATATGGCACTGAGATGACTTGATTTTAACCTCTGACTGTTAAGGCACATGTTATAAATACTAGCACAAGTACAAATTTTGTAGATTGGGCTATGTCTTGTTATTCATTACACTTTGTGGCATGATTAAAGCTCAGTGTACAGTCAGCACGGTGTCTGAAATGCAGGCATAGATTTATTGTAGCTATCATAACTATAATGATGTTAAACACATACATCTTAAAAGTCAATGTCTACTGTTTTTCATTATTCAAATTATGTTCCTGATAAGAAAAGCATTTATCTTGACTTGTTTCTTTGGAACACAGTTTTTCAGTTAAACTTTGGATAGCCAAATAGACCTGTTTTTGTGTTCTTAACTGTTATCCATCACTTGCATCTTGGGAATAAGATTTTCAGGCTGCTAAAGTTAGCAGGAATCCCCTGTTTTGCAATAGCTTACGGCACTCCCTGTTGTTCCCAGCATCTGCCAGATAACTGTGCCTAAAAATATCTCAGTTCACCACTGAAGGGTGGGGTCACATCTCTTTGTCTTTCAACTTGCTCTTGATCTGTCATCAGAGTTTTGAAGGGTAGTGTATGATTCCAGATAGTGATGTAAAGGTGAAGGAAGTCTTGCCTGTCCTTTATTCCATTATTTACTTAGATGCTTTGACCGCCAGGAATGAGTACAGGCACTCTTTGGATATTCAGTGCAAAAAAGCATGCTTCCTCATTCCACCTAAACCTCCATTTAAATGAAAGGAGAGTGCCTCGTGCCCTAGTCTGTAACAGAGGCAAGATAAGACCATTAAGGAAGCAGATTAAGACCTTAGAAACAGAGAAGTATTTGAAATGCAGTGTCCATTGTTCAGTTATATTCAGCCTCTTCTCTTTTGTTTTCATTTTTGCAGTGTCTGCTATGACAGAGCTCCCCGGTACCCTACGGCTTTAACATTTATCCTGTCGGCCCTGTGGCATGGTATCTATCCTGGATATTATTTTACGTTTCTCACTGGAATCCTTATCACACTTGCAGCCAGAGCAGTATGTACCTTTCATTGTTCTCTTCTAAGGCCAGTGCTAGATACTCTCCAGTTGCCAACCGCACCATCACATGGTCAAGCAGCTTGTCCCTGATGTGAGCCCTCTTGCATGTCTTTGCAGGCTTGATGTTCATTGAAACTTTGTTCTGTATTGACACTAATTGCAAAGTACCCCCAGCAGTTAGAACCAGCACTGATTGTGCACGTGATGCACTGCTGTCCCAGGCTGTCAGAGGAAATGTTGTTTGAGGATATACAATTAGCAGAGCCACCAACTATGTCCATGCAGTCAAATTAGCTCGGAATTCAAGATCATGTTGGATTGCAGACTTTTACTGGGTCATGTTGCCTATATGCTGGTGTGTAATTGGCTCTGGGCCCAGTCTTACACAAGAAGCTGCTATGGGCTGAGCATTAGCCCAAACTTGAACAATTTATGTGGATTCAATTGATGCAGTAAACTGGTCAGAACAGGTTTCATGTCTCACTGTTGATAAATTTATCACTGCTGATTTTTCAGGCTGAACCAGCCAGTGGTGCAGGGCTAGGAAGCACCACTGTTGTCTTTTAGAGTTTGACTATGGATAAATAGTCAGGTCAATTTGAAAGGTGAATTAAACTAGTAATCAGTATTAACCACTATGGCTAAAGGAGGTTGCTGAACACGCTCTCTTAACGTGTACTTTGCCTCTCATTTATGAGGATTTCATAAATGTGAAACTAACCCAAAATCTCTATGGAACAGCACATACTTGTAGGTATAAACACTTATTTGTCCAATTAAAGTAACTTTGTTTTACTGTTGATAACCAGTAATAAATGAAAACAAGGAGGGAGGAAGAACAGCTGCCCTCCCCAAAGATACTGTGCCAGACACCCATAAGGAGAGTCTGCTTCTGTGATTATGAGAGAGGAAATTGGGGGCCACTCCTCTGTTTGCCACTGACTGTGGCATCTTGGATATGCCAGTCAATACACTTCTGTGTTCCTACTCAGTGCTTTCTAATGGGCATATAAACCTTTCTGTGATACTAATGCTGATGGTAAGTGGGGAGTTATGCACTGCAATGTGTCCACGTGGCTTTGCCTAAGAAATGGATGTATATAATTTTTTGTTTACTTTTCCCTAATCTGCAGATAAGAAACAATTGCAGACATTACTTCCTCTCATCAGTGCCTCTTAAGATAGCCTACGACATTGTTACCTGGGTTGTCACTCAACTGGCTGTGTGCTATACTGTTGCACCGTTTGTTATGCTGGCTGTTGAGCCCACAATTAAGTTTTACAAGTAAGTTTTCTCCTCTTGACTGTTGTTCTCCACACCGGCATAAACTTTCATTAAATAACCCAAACTGCACTGAAAGACAGTTGGCATTTCATCAAATTTGAAAGGAGTTTCAAACAGGATGCTTCATAATGTGTAAGGGGTGATTTTTGCGCTTCGGTAACGTAGTGAGGTAATCATAATGCCAAGGCAGGGCACTTTGCTTGTACTTCTCTGTGTCCTTATGCGACTTTTCATATACTCAGTTCCCATTTTCAGAACAGCTGAGTCTCAGCCATTAGCCACAGCCGAGGCTGAAGAGGTTAAAAATAATGTGAGTTGGCAGTAGGAAGGACTTGTTGAGCAAAGACCAGGTTTCCAGCTGCTAAATGGGTACAACAAGAGATGGGATCGATCAGGAGATATGGAGGGTTCTGGCAGCCCATTACTTTTTGAAATGAGTATGCTTTTCTTTATTAAAGTATGCTTCTTTTCTTAGGAAATGAGTACTTCCCTACGTTCCTTAAAATAAGAAAACACTGCTGTTGCAGAGTATATCAAATGTACTCTAATAAAACCAAATTGAAATAGGGAAATTGAGAAAATAATTAGAAAAAGGAGACTGGAGTACATTGCTTTGCTTTTCTTTCATTCTACAGTGAACTGTCAACATAGAGTAACAGGTTTTGGTTCAGAAGACAGACAATTTCCTCCTCTAACATAAAAGACACGAAACTGGTAGTCAAGATAGGCTGATGCCAGTCGGTTTGGAGGGGTTTGAATTTCGACATTTTCTATTCCTGTTTCTTAAAACATTTGATTTCAACACAGAAAACTTACCATATAAAAATTACTCCAAATATTTCTTAGTTTCATTTCTTAATATTTTTTGCCCTGGTGATTTTGAGCATAGTTAACATTTAAACTTAGAGACTGTTAAGCAAGGAAATTATACACCTTTGGACTAGGGCATGAATTTTTTGAGCACTGCTCGCCTAGCAATGGTCTTAAGCAGCTTACAAGGATATTAAGAACTGTGGTAAGGAGCATAAATGAGACCATGGAAAGATGCATTTCTGTGGTTAAGAGCTGGACTGTACTGCTTCCAAACATCATCCTTACCAAGCTACCAGAGCCTCACATATTTGGTTTAAGTATTTTTTATTTCTCTTCAATCTTGTGTATACTGAATTATTTGAAATAAAAATATTTGATGTTTAGTAAGAAACCAAATAAAGATATCTCTGAGTAGTTACCTTCAAAAACACAAGCCTTCTGTAAACATCATTACCTGACCTTCCCCAGCTAAAACTTGAGTGCTTTGATTTATTTCAGATGTCAGGACTTTGAATGAATTTTTTGCTTTCTGTCGCTTTTAAATTTTTTTTATGCATGAAGGATATTTCTCAGAACATGGCCTTGTATACTGTAACATTAAAAGAGAGATGGGCTGAATAAGTCTGGGGTTGAATTAGATGGGTTTATCTGAGCTGTCAGACTTTGGATTCCAAAGTTTGCTGATTGTTTCCTTGCCTCATTAACATTCACGGCAACGTTTTCATCCATGCCAGCAGATATCAAATGTGGATCTGTGTGAAATGTGTGACTGTGTGAAATTCAAGGGTGTATTTTTGTGCTTTCTAGGTTTCGTACATTCTGCATTCATCCCTTAGCACTTAATTCTGCTTGCACAATTCATGTTATTGCCAACAAAAATATAATATTCTCCTTCTGCTTTTGTTCCCAGGTCTGTGTATTTTCACATGCACATTCTAAGCATCCTGGTGTTGCTCCTGTTACCAATCAGACCTCAAACCCACTCCCTAAGAAGGGCTCAGAATCAGGCCATGATGAACTCTGTTAAAAGCAAAGACAAATGATGCCTCCAAAGAAAATTGCCAGCACTGTGTAACCGAACTGTCGTATTGTAAACAAACGAAGAAGAAAAATGGGTGGCATGAGGGTTGAAGTGCAAGACGGGTGGCATTTCTGTTGGCTATCTTAAAATCTTACTGGAGAGGGCAGAGAAGAGCCTGAATGACTGTATTTCAATTTATTCCAGTTAGTGGAGATTTTACAGGCAACGTTTACAGGCTCATGGGGCATTTTGATTTTTATAATAAATATTTTTATGAAATGTTTTTATATATTTAAACTTTTTCACAGAGAGGCATTTTTTTCTCTTTTGCAGAAATACATAATTATTAATCAACAAATAATCCTGTGATTAGAGAGAGGGACAGAAAGCAACTAGTAAAGAGTTAGGCCAGCTGCCTGATAGCCTGGTGCTGTGGGCAGCTGGGAGGGGAAACTTTTCATCTCTTGGTAATGGAGAGAGATGGTGCAAGTAGAAGACTACAGACATGGGGTTGCTCAAGGTGCTGGCACTGACTTCTGCCCCAGCAGGGGGACGGGGGAATGGGGCTTTCCCCAGCAATCCCCAGAGCAGGGACTGCAGCCTGAGCTGGGTAGCAAGGGTACTTCACATCCTTCAATGTGACACCTGCTGGTAATGAGGGCAAGACAAGTCCCTTGGGAATAGATGTCTGGGAGCACTGATAACTGCTTAAGCCAAAATCTAAAGCCAAGTAAAGGAAAAACAAAGGCAGAAGGGGGAACTCAAGCTAGAGTAAAAGAAGGGACATACACCCTGTGGTGTGCAGAGTTGTACTTCTCTAATGATGCAGCTGGAGCTCATTGCTACATCAGCCTTAATTTGCAGTTTTAGAGTGATGCAGCACTTCCTTTTTGGTATCAAAATAAGTGAGGAACCATGCAGGGTTAGTGTTTTAAAGCTTGCAGTTGTGGGTTAAATCTGAAGAAGCTTTGCGATGGATCAGACTGTTCTACTGAAAAACATCCCATCTTATGGTGTGGTTACATTCCAGCAGATAACACTAATAAGAAACCTGAGCAGTAATTATCATAGTCATAATAAATCATTCTCTGAAAAATATTGTGATGTGATGTGATAGGATGACCACAAGTGTCAAGACTGAGTCCTTGTATGACCTTGACATCTGACTTAACTGTTGATGCAAGTTTCCCTGCTTGTAAAGTCCTTGATTTATAGGGATGTTTTGAGGCTTAATTTCTCAGAGCTTGTTGTGCATTGAGATAACCTACTGCAAAATACTGTGTCAGTTTTTTTTTCTTTTTTTTTCTTAAATCCACTTACCCCAATAAAATAGGCTGGTACTGCACGTCAAAATCAACTAAACCATGTTTTTAAATGTTTTCCAGGAATGCTTTTATCAGGATTTTGTAGAAGCAGTTCCCTTGTTAAAGTATTGGGATTGCTTTATGAACATTTAATCAGAGTGTGATTGAGCAGAGAATCTGCTATTTACTGCATTCTGATTTTTGTGTCAGATTAAAATTTTACAGAATCCTAATGTTTTGAGAAGAAAAAAATCAGGGAAACCAAAACAAGTTCCAAAATAAGTGATTTTTTTTTTCCTCTGTGGGAAGTTCTTGTCCTATGACCACCTCACAATTTAGAGCATAGTTCATGGAAGAGTTTATTTGGTAATTTATTTTAAAGGGTGAGATGGAATTAAAAGATTGATCTGAATAAACCATTTGCTTTGTGTCACCGCCTGGCGTTATTAATCACAAACATCTAATGTGAAAATGGGTGAGTGGGTGGGTGAAATCCCTCACACCTGTGAAGGGAGATGTTCAGGTCTGCTGGATTTTGCAGAGCAGCTGAGTGTTCCATCCAGCTCGTGCTGAAATGGAGAAAAGATGATCACAGTTCGTTTTTGTGGCAGCTTTGTCCTTAACTTGGCAAGTCTTTTTTTTGGTCCTCATGTGTGTATTCTCCTTGTGACACCAGCCTCAGTTGCACCTTGGGCATCTGATATTTCCCTTGAGGTCTAGCTGTGCCATCCCTGTTTCTTGTGGGAGGGAACCAGGGTGCCTCCCCAGGAAGGGATGGGGACTTGGGTGCTGCTGGCTGTGGAATCCTGTGTGCTGAGCCTGTGTTTACCTCCCACAGACTGGAATGAATTGCTGTGAGCTCTGGCAGAGCCAGCATAATGCACAGCAAGGCTGCAGAAGACTGATGTTCCCAGCAGGTTGGCTTCAGCACCTGCTTTGGAAAATAAATGCTCAGCTCAAAGGTGGTTGCAGGTCTGTACCTGCTGCTCTGTGCCCTGAGATCTGCCTGCACAGCCCGTGCTCTGGTCTGCGGCCCTTCCTGAGCTGTACGTTCAAGAGGCCAGATATTATCAGTGGGGTTTCTTTTCTACAGTTTCACCTAAGTGGAACTTACCATCAACTTCTGTTGTAGTTTCAGCTCCTACAATGTGATGAATTAGTCAGGGCTAATGAGCAAACTCATATTCTCCTGTCACATTGTCTCCTCAGCCTGAACCTCTCCCTAAAACCAAGCATCGTCCCTGGGTGACGATGAGAACTGGTCATGTGGGTTTAATATGATGTGTTACATGAATTAAAATTGAAACTGTCTTTTTGAAACCTTGTATTTGCAGGGAAGCTTGCTGGTTGAATTAGTCTTAAAGCTGAAGGGGAAATTTTCTAAAATCTTTGCTGTAGCGTGTTACTGTGGACTAGGCATCTTACCTAGCCAGATGTGGTGGCCCTGCAAAGCTAATACAGAGTGGATTTTAATAGCTGTAAAACATTCCTTTGAAAAGAGGCTGTTAGCTATGGGGCTAACCTGATCAACCCATTGTATTGAGTCTTTCTCTCCTTTTGTTCTTCTCAGGGAAGAAACTTTGGTATTATAGAAAGACTGCAAATAGCCACTATTATTTAAAGGACACTTGTGCTAGTAATGTGCATCTACTTTGCACAGGAGAATATAACTCAAAGAGCCAAAGTAGAAATTCAGGTTATACCCTTATAAAAGGGTGATGTCAGGAACTTGAATTCCGGTGATTCTAATTCTAGTGTAATTTGAGAGTGCACTTCAGTGATTAAAATGGACGATGGTGATTACCAACATGTTATTAGTTTCTAATCCCTTTCTGGGTTCTTTGTGCTGCAAAAAGCTCAAGAGCT